TTTCATGATGAGTTTTTGGACGACGACGACCATGATGACGACGGTGAGAAGGAAAAGAAAGAGAAGAAGGGGGCATTGATGCCTCTGCTATTGAGTGAAGTGCTTGGCGACGGCCAAGACTGTGAGTGGTGGCTCCTTGATAGTGGGGCCGGTGTATCAGTGCTGAGCGAGAAGCATGCAGCCTATTTTGGTGTAGACCTGAGTGAGCTGAAGCAGTCACAGATTCAACAAGGTTTTTCTGCTGCCAACGGTAGTCCTGTGCGCATGTTGTTTGAAGTGACCATACATGTTGAAGTTCTCCTGGAGAGCAGTGATGGACGTAGGGACTGGCAGCGTGCAAGCATGACAGTGTGGGTAGGTGACACGCAACATAACATCATTTCGACTACCATGCTTTGTTTTCGTAGATGGACCTTTGTGCAGAGTGCTGAAGGGATTATTTTGACTTCACCCACAGGTTTGTGTGCTAGCGAAGTAAGCTTGTTTTGCAACGTCCCTTGGGTTCGCCTGCGTCCTGTCGGAGCCTCTGAGAGTGTGCGCACTGAAGTGAGCTTGTGCAGTGTAGGTAAGACCTTGGTTTCGCCATTGACTAAGTCCACGGAAGCCGAGCTTGCTCAGCATCGCTTGCAGGGGCATACTCCTTATCACCCAGGATGTAGGCATTGTCAAGTCTCCAGGTCTGTGTATCAGCATCGTAGGCGGAAAGATGGCAGACTTGAGTCAGAGGTAGTGGCAGATTTTTTCTTCCTCTCGAGTACCGGTGAGGAACCTAGAGCCGTTAGGGCAGACAACCTCAGGGTGCTTGTGATGGTGGAGCGCATGTCTGGCATGATAGGAGCGATTGTCACCTCTGATAACGTAGTTGAGAACCGTACTCTAGTGGTGAAGTGGCTGCGTGAGTTTGGTTTGCAATCCGGTACATGCTCCATTCTTATGATCACTGATGCTGAGGGTGCTGTATCAGATCTGATCGCAGGGGCCTCTGAGGAGTTTGCATTCCAGGTTAGGAAAGCCGAGCCACAAAACCATGAGTCAGTTGGTGTTGCCGAGCGAGGTGTCCGGAAGGTTAAGGAGAGCCTCCAAACCTTGCGCAGTGATCTCAATCAAGAAGGAGTTGACTTGTGCTTCAATCATGTCGGGTTTGCAGCAGCCTTGACCTATCTTTGTGGCAGCTTGAACCGGTTCTCGAAAGCGCATGGGTCTGAGCTTGCGCCTTGTGATATGCCACTGCGAAGACCAACACCTAAAGGTCCTTTCACCTTGTTTGGAGCTACAGTGCTTGCAGAGTTGCCTCAGTCGGTCCGAGACCTTGCTCCAAACTTACCCAGGTTCACTGAGGGTGCATTTCTGTACCCCATTTTGGGATCTCAGGCCATTCGGGTTACTTCTTTGATCCGGATTGACGGCCGCTTTGAGTTGAAGACGTATGCAGCCAAGTCGGTGAAAGTCTGTGTGCCAATAGCTTGGCGCCTTGAGTTGTTGGAAGGTGTGATTAGCAGCCTTGGTGGTGGTCCGAGGATACCACAGGCCATTGAGCCTCGTGAAGTGCTTGAGCCTCCTGTGTCAGTTCGACCTCCTGCAGCAGGTNNGGAATGGGTACTCGGCGGGGTGCTCAGCATGTGGCAACCTTCAGGAAGGTAGGAGAGCTGGCAGAAGCCATAATCGTGCGTGTTTGCAAAGATACGCTCACTGGCTTCGTGAATCAGTTGCCAATGATGGGGCAGCAGTAGCCTTAGCGCCTGAAGTTGGGCGTCCGGGTGAACAATCCATCCAACCTGATTCACAGGAAGACGTTGATCTCCCTGGTGATGAGTTTGATGGAAGACTCAACTTTGATGATGAGCCTGGAGAGGATAACCAGGTTGTGTTGACCAGAGAGGCTCCCAGTCGAGCAAGTCATGAGGTAAGACAGCCAACACGGATCGCAGGTCGAGTGGCATCTCCTGCCACCGATGGCAATGTCTCC